ATTAAGAATAGCTTTCAGAAAGTGCGCTAAACAGATTTAAATGCTTACATAACCATTTATTATACATAGTAATAGTGATAGATATATATATATACATATTTATATAAACATAGCAATAAGCACAAAAGGGCAACAACAGAAAACAGAAACAGAAACAGAAAACAAGAAACGCAATCAGAATCGTGTTTGAGGTAAAAAGTGTATCAAATAGTTATTATCACTAGCCTGTCAAGCGTTCATTTCCTTTATCATTTCAATTGTTGTAGGTGTGTATTTATTGTACATATATTTCATAGCGCATATACATGTCTGTGTATGTGTGTGCGTGTGTGTGTGTGTGTGACTGTGTATGTACGCGTTTTCGTGTCTGTATGTGTGTGTGTAGTAAAATATTTACCTTATTTGGACACCATTTTCTTTTTTGTTTTCTTACTCATTTGGAAAATCACCTGATGTTTTCACTGAAAACGCTCTCATTACACAAACATATCGATTTTCATTTTCATTTTCTTTTTTTTTAGTCTAATTTACTCGCTTGTGTTTACATGTGTGTGTATATGTGTGTGTCTGTGTGTATTTTATGTTATATGAAGACGAGCCAACAATTAGTTTATGAATCGCATACATGTACATATATGCATATAAATATATGTATGTGTAAATGTATATATAGATATATATGTGTATATATCTGTATCTAGTTTTTAGCTTCTCAGAATGCCAAAAGGAAAACACGCAACATATGACAACAACAAAAAATAAGCAAAGGTATTATTATCCCAAAGGTAATGATCATATTGAAATTTATATATATATATATGCATGTGTACATATGCATATATTGAGCGTGGCAAACAAATGCAGCTTTTATATTACAAGGTTTTCTCTCAAATCAAATTTGCTAAGGCTTCGAATTCATTATTTCATTAGACAATTCTTATCAGAAGTTTCAATGCATTGCTAATGCCTTTTGATAATGGCTTAGTGTGTGCGTGTGTGTGTGTGTGTTGGTGTGTGTGTTTGTGTGTATGTGTTTTTATGGCTACTGCTGATGTTATTTGTTTTAAATTAGCTTTTTCTTTCATATTATTATTATTATTGTATTAGCTTTGTTTTTGTTTTTGTTTTGTTTTTCGTTTAGCTTTTCATTTGCATATTGTATTTTGCTTTTCTTTGTTTAAATAAATGAACCATTTCTTTTAGTTATTTTTAAGTTTTTCTTTTTTTTCTTTTGAGGAAATACGTTTTGTTTATAGGTATGTTTTATATGGGGGGATAGCTGTTGTTGTTGTTTTTTGTTGTTGTGCTGGTTGCTTGATTGCTTGATTATTAATTCACAACAGTGGTTAATGGAATTTGACGCGCCCTCTTTGTCTCCTCCTCGTTGATTTTTTGTTCAATTAGATACTGCGCTTTGGCAATGGCACTCGGCTGACCAGTTATGGTTACAATGCGATTTCTAGTGCCAGGTGCGAATATGCCTTTTTTGGAAATTTGCACATTTGCGCCAGAAGCATGTTGAATTTCAACTAAACTACGACCGTTCGGACCTGGAATATTTGCATCAGATTATGTTAAATGTGTTGTAATTATTTATATGTGTGTATATGTATGTGTTTGTATATCTGTGTGTGTGTGTTTAAGTGTTGCTTGGATTGTGCTTGGGTTGAAAGAAAATCCTAAATGATTAAGGACCAACATTAACAAAAAATAAAAAAAATTAAAACAATATATNGCTTGCAAATGTATCTTTAAGATACAAAAGTATCTAAGGGGGAGAATGCACATCGAGCACAATCTCTGCCTATAATTAACGATGTATTATAGATCTATATCTCATTATTTATATAGGTTATTATCATAGTCCATATAACTCTGAGTATAACTGATAAAGATACAAAAGTATCTCCGACCTAGTAAAAAGTCTCTTTAGCTCTAATGCATCGTTGATAAACATACAAAAGTAACTGTTAATTTATGCATATATGCATAACTCCTATACCCATTATATGTATACATACACACACACACAAATCTGCATACATATATGTAACTGTTAATTTATGCATATATGCATAACTCCTATACCCATTATATGTATACATACACACACACACAAATCTGCATATATATATTTATATTTATATTCCATTCCGCATGTGTGTGGCCCAACCTAAATATCTATGCAAACTGCGACACTGAGGTAATAATTACTGCGCAAATAAACAAACGAAAATTAAACCCAATAATTGCACTATTCCAATATAATGTAGTATAGTATGCTAGGTATTTACATATTCATCAATATCGACAACAAAAATTCGTTACGACCCTAGGAAAGGTCCTCAACATATCGCCTACTGCTAACTGAAAACTATTTGAGTTCTCTTGGTGATGAGCGAATCTTCAACTTCGAAAAAGGTTCGAAAATAGTAGAACGGAATGTGGCATATGGCATATCATCGTGAGTGGATGATCATGGGATCATGCTGGGTGCTGGGTGCTCTGTGCCTATGTGTGTGGGTGTGTGTGTGTGTGTGTGGGCAAGAAGTTGACTAGAAATTTCGCTACATATTTATATAATTGGGAATGCCTTAAGGAGTGCGTATGGAAATGCTCAAAAAACAGATCTGATCTGACCTAATCGTATCACCTATCTAATTGGAATGCCTGCCGTGGAATGTGGCTCTGTTTGTGCGCAATGGCTTTGTCTCTTCTGCTACGCCTATGTATATAACTACGGCTAAGTCCTACAATTAAGTAATCGCATCGCTAAACGAACAATGGGGCTAAGAGGGAGGGGCGAACGGGTCCAAGGATTAATAGTGCTGGAAAACGGAAGTGTCTGTTTGTTGTTGTTGTTGTTGTTGCTGCTGTTGTAGTAGTTGTTGTAGTGGTTCTGGTTGTTCTTGTTGTTGTTGTTGTTCAATTTTAGTAGGAATAATAGAAAGGTTGCCCACCTAAGACAGCGCCAATAATCACTTCAGGCACCTCAACGTTCTTGGTATCCTTGGCGCCCAGATCGCCCGGAGTGGGGCTCTTACTCAGGCCGCCTATCGAGGCGGCGGCGCCCAGTTGCGCACTGGTCACCGTGCCGGTGGCGCCGGTCAGTCCAAAGCTGTTGTTGTTTAGCGAAACGGGCGTGGCGGCGGGCGCAGTGGCCGAGCCGAGATGGCGGAATGAATCGAATTGCACCTCCAGTTGCGACTGCGTGGGCCGATTGGCCGCCGCAGCAGCTGCCGCCGCGGCAGCGTACTCAAAGTTCACCTGCCCAACAGCGCCGAAGACATTGCTGGCCGTGGCCGCTGACGCTGCGGCGGCTGTCTGCTGCTCCAGCGTCGTCACGCCCAGGTAGTTGGCCAGCGTCGGATGCGCCCCATTGGTGTGCGGCACGCCCACGCCCATGCCCAGCACGCCGTACTTGGCCAGCACCCCGAGGGCGGCGCCCACTTCAGTTGTGGCGGTCTCCGAGTATCCAGCGCCGCGCATGGCAAGCTGCGGGTGACGGAACGCCAAGAGGGTCAGATGGATGGTTGATTAGAGCTACTCAGACTACGCACCTTGATGTGATCCAACAGCTGTGTGGCAAACGCCAGGTTGGGCGTCGGATTGGGGGCGCTCAAGTTGAGGGACAAGTTGATGCCCGCATTGCTGACCAGGAGGCTGGCCGCAGTGCCGGCGCCGCCGATGGCCGTGCCCAGCGTGGAGTTCAGCGAGGCGGTGCTTGAGTTGATGGCATTCTGATTGGTGGCATAGGGCGAGCCGGTCGGATTGAAGTTGGCAACGGGTCCGTTCACATCTGCATAGGAGACGTTCAGACATGTGCCCGACTGAGGATCCTCCACGATCTTCGAGAGTATCATCTTGCAAGCGTTCTTGTTGTTTTCCTTGTCGCCGATGATGGTGATGCAGCGCTCCTGCAGCGACACATCCTTTGGTTTCTGCGATATCTGCACATAGGAACCGCTCTCCTCCTTGATCTGCTTGATGAAGGCGCCGCCCTTGCCGATGATCATGCCAGCAGTCGAGTTGGGCACCAATATTTTCACCTGCTTGTCCCGCTCCTGGGCCTGCTTCGATTCGGCATCGATGATCTTTGTGGTCAAGTCGGGCTTCTCCCGGATTTTGTCCATTATGAAGTCGACCACGGTCATGATGCCCTCCACGGAGCCGGTGATGAGGCAGACTCGCTCAGTAGTACCTGAAGGAAAATGGGAAACGGGAAATGGGACACTCGTCATTTTCCACATTCCATTCGGATATGCGGCTACTCAATGCTCACCTGGATAGAAGTCGTGCGATTTGGACATCTTGACTCTAGCACCCGTGTCCTTCTGCAAGGAGGCAATCGTCTCGCCCCCTTTGCCAATGATGGCTCCGGAGGCCACCGCGGGCACCAGGATTTTCATGTGAAATGTGGTATCGCCTGCAAGTTCCGAAAATAAAAACAGATCACAGTGCGACCATGGATTAGTGATTACAATTGCTTTAGCTCTAAGTAACTGTTACTGCAGTTGGGGTTGCCCAGTTGCCCAGTTGACCAGTTGATCGTGGCGCACATCTGGTAGCTGTTTAGCAGGTTAAAAATTCAAAATAATAACAGCATTCGGTGGTCGTCCGCGCGCAGCTGGACGTCGTTTGATATCTGAGTTTTGGTATGATGGGGGATAATGGCTTTAGGGGGTGGCTGGTGGGAGGACATGCATTCGACTGTTTACTGTACTGTGTGTTGACTGTGTTGACTGATGTGGTCAATGCTAATGCTAATGCCAATGCCAATGCCAATGCTAATGCCAATGCCAATGTTTATGTTAATGCTGTGGAGTAGTCGGTTTCGGCAAGCCATGAGAGGATGAGGATGCAACACACACAATATGCTGGCGAGACATGAAAAGCTCTAACCCCCCAACCTCCCCTCGCGCAACCCACTAGCAACGGGCCTTAAGCACTTTGGGCTTGAATGTTGGTCAAGCGGTCAGGCGGTCAGATTTGGTCAGTCAGTGATCTGCGGTCAGGAGGGGTCAGAGGCTAATGGGCTGACCCAGCGTAATGTTTGCCCAATTAAAATCAGTTTGCGTTTGTCAGTTAACAAGTTTAGCTCAACTGGGTATTAGAGAAACAGAAATAGATAGAGAGATACAAAGAGTAAGAGAGATAGATATATACAAAAAGACGAAATTGGGTTTTTCTTTCGGATATCTTGAGACACTTTTCACTGCGTTTCGCATAACAAAGATGAATGTTAATGGTATTTAATGAAAGTATGACAAAGCTTACCATGATGATTATGATTATTGTTATTATTTTCAATTTCAACCTCAATTCCAGAACAAACTGACTCACCTAAAATGAAACAGAGATGGAGAGAAACAAGCATTGCATTAGTTACATTTGTCAATTCGCTTGAATTATATATTAGACAACGGCTAAGATATGCAGTGAGCTGACGTCAGTCGAAGTAGGTGTATGTGTGTGTGGGTGAGCACAGTAGAGACTTGACCGCAGCCACATTGCAATCTCATTTCGCTGGCATTCGATATAGCCAGTGCAGTCCGTAGCGCACGGGCGAGTAAACAAATTTCAATTAATAAAATGTGTCAAGCGGAGATGCTCTATTACACAAAACAATCGCTCATAGCGTAACAAATAAAAAAAAAAAACAAGGCTATAAAAATCACAAAAAGAAAACAGAGAGGCGCATTGAACAGCGGCGTCGTGCAGCTGCTGCACCTGACTTTTTCGCCTCTGTCCACACGCGCCAAGACGCCCCAACCGAGAGTTGAGCGACTTGACGGCTGGGTTTAATTTTAGCCGATGCGCTTGACAGGCTGCGCCCCACCCCTGCCGCTGCCCCTGCTGCTGCCCCTGCTGCTGCCCCTGCCGCTGCCCCTGCCACTACCCCCTGCCTGTCGCACTCAGAATTAAAATCTGTGTCGTCATCTTGTTGCCACTTGAAGCCAAGTGTCCTTCAAAACAATTTCTCTAATTAGATACAAGCGCTGAAATGAGGCGCACATCTGTCACCGAGTGCCAGAAACTAGAACTCTGGGGCTCTTGGCTCTTGGCGCTTGTCTCTTGGCTCAGGCCACAAATCATGAGCTAGCCCAAGCCACCCCCCCACACACACACACACACACACACCTATGTGTGTCAGGTCGTCCCGATGTCTATCAGCTGACCCAGCAGCAGCAGAGGCAAACAAAATTTACAGCAAACGCTGTCACCGGACTTTGCAGCGAACCACGCTGCGTATACTTGATGTGAACTATTGTCGAGTTCACATTAAGTATACGCAGCGTGGCTGTATATGTTATATATGAAAGAGAGATGTGATGTGATGCATGTGTGTGTGTGTGTATGCTTGATGCTTGATTATTATTTCATTATTTATGTTTTCTTTTCTTTTTTCAAGATAATTAAATCTTTTGCTAGTCTCAGTTGATTTGCATTTTGTTGATTTTCATTTTTTTATACTTTTTTTTCTTATGACTCGACGGCAGCGCAGATGTTGAGATGGAGACATGGCGTTTGACTGATTGATTGGTTGATCGATTGATTGATTGATGCTATTGTAGTTGTACTTCGGTTGCTCACCGCTTTGTTCGCATAATTGTGAGCAAAATACAGATGCAGAGGGCGAGAGAGCAAGTGTTTTTATTATTATTTTTTTTTTTTTTTTGTGAATTTGTAGATGGATGTGTGTAATATTTAGAAGAAGTCGTGCGCATCATTTAGTTTGTAGTTTCTGAATTTGATAGCGTGTTTTCATCAAACTCACCGTAGCACCAACAGGAGGCAGTCTTATAGCTGGATGTTGCTGCCGTTCCTGATGCAGTTGCAGTTGCTGCTGCTGTTGCTGTTGCTGTGGCACTTGCTGTTGCAGTTGCAGTTGCATTTGCTGTTGCAGCTCCCGTTGTTTCATGTTTACTAAGTTGCTGCAGCAGCTGCTGCTGCTGCTGTTGCTGTAAATGCTGTTGTTGCTGCTGCTGCTGTCCCGCTGCAGCAATTGGCGATGCACTGCTATCGGGCGAGCCATTGTGACTGGCTGGATGATGCTGCTGCAGTTCCATCTGGTGATAATGATGTTGAGTATTGCTTAGATTAGGATTGCTTTGTGCCTGTTTCAGTGCCAGCTGCTGCTGTTGCTTCTGCTGTTGCTTATAGCTAAAGACTGCTAATGAGTATGCAGCGTTGTGAATGATGTTGTTGCCGTAGATGTTACTATTGCTATTGCTATTACTATTGCTGTTGCTGTTGCTGTAGTTGCTGTAGTTGCTATAGTTGCTGAAGCTGCTGCTGCTGCTGCCGCTGCTGCTGCTGGTCAGCGAATGTAATGATGATGGCGATGTTATTGCTTGTGTTGCTGTTGTTGTCTTGCAATGTTGTCGTAGCTGCTGCTGATAATTCAATTGCGACATATGCGTGGGCGTTGAGTGCTGATATTGCATACTTGCATACTGCTGCAGCTGTTGCTCCAGCTCTAGCTTCAGCTTCAGCTCCAGCTCCAGCCCTAGCCCTAGCTCTTGCTGTTGCTGCTGCTGCTGCTGCTGTGGCAGTTGCTGCTGTGGCTGTTGCATTGCTCTTGCTCCACTTAGATCGGCGCCCATCTGCTGCAATATCTGCTGGGCTGCCACATTTATAATACTTTCCATAGCGTGCGATCGTCACTTGCCGTTTCGATGCTGTTTAAATGTTGTCATTCAGTCTTAAATTTTGCTTTGCGTATGCGACGGAATAATTTGTTTGCTTTTATTTTGATTAATTTTTTAGATTATCAAAATCAATTTTTGGTTTTTACTTTTTTATAGTTTATAGATTTTTAATGTATTTTTCTTTAAATTTTTGATCAATTTGACTGCTGCTGCTCAGTTTAGAACTACTCTACGCGATTCCAATTCAAAAACTTGCACAATAAACGAAAAGAAAAAGAAATAGAAATTGTTTTCAATTAAACTTTGTTGTTCTTTGTTTTTGTTCAAAAAGTTAATTTGTTGTTGCAATTTCGCTTACAATTTCGTTACATGAAACATACAGAGAAACATTTTGGATTGAGCAGCTTTTACACGAGCCAACAAAGAGAGGCAGAGCGAGAGAGATAGATATATATGTAGAAAGAGAGAGAAGAAACGAAAATTAAATTGACAGCATTGATGTTTCTCTCAGAGTATGCTTTTCTCTATCGAGCTGCCAACTTGTCTCTGAGGCTTTTGCTCCCAAATCCTGCTCTCGATTGACACTCGTGTAAACGCAGCTCTGAGTAGTTGATTTTAGTATGATTTGAATTGATTTGATTCGATTCGATTTGATTCTTTAGGCTAGGCCGTGTGCTGTTTGCTCCGCCCTTGGAAGGAGTATGATGAAGGTGGCGGTGTATAAGTATAGGTCATAGATAGGTTTATAGAGTGGTAGAGCGCCATTTGTTTTTAGTACGTTTTGCAGTGTTTCGAGTTGAGTTGATTTTGAGTTGAGTTGAGTTGAATTTGATTTGCATTGATTTGATTCGAAAGCAGCGCGCTGGATGGATATTGTAGTAGTAGTAGTAGTAGTAGTAGTAGTAGTAGTAGTAGAGTAGTAGGTAGTAGACGATTATGGTGGTGTTCTTTTTGTTTTCATTGATGACAATCGGAATGTGCTTGGATTCGTATTTATTTATTTATTGTGTACTTTGCAATGCTTGCGCCATATTCAATGAGCAACAGATCGGTAGACAGCTCCCACACAACACCAAAGACAACAACAACAACAACACATGATAGATAAAGTGACAGAAAGTTAGATAGAGAGAAGGAAATCGTAGTATATATGCATATATAATACATAATATCAAGATGTATTCAAGTATTATGATAGTTACATACACATACATACACACAGACACATTGACAGTTACATATATAAGAAAATAGAAGTAGATTGATTGATTGATTGACTGATTGACGTCTGCAGTTGCGTTTGGAGTTATGAAGCGGCGGCAACAGCAGCAGATGCAGCAGCAATTGTTGTTCGATTTGAAGTGCGTTATTAGGAGATTGATCGAGATTGATTGCACGATTGATTGATTAATAGTTTGATTGATTGCCAACAAGCACAGCATCGACTATGATGATTGATCGCTTCTGCACTATGTACACACATCATCGCTTGATGGAAGATGTTATGCAACTACAGATCTCACTTCGCAACTGGATGCTTCTTAGAATTACAAACAATAATAAAACTATGCAGTAAGAGTAATGCAGTAGAAGTAGAGTAGTAGTAGTAGTAGTAGTAGTAGTAGTAGTAAGATGTGGCATGTTTTGATTTGTTTGCAGAAGGCATTTGCAGGTTTCAATCTGTGCTAGAGATGGTCTACGTCCATGTATATATAGAGAGAATAAGATAGTAGTGGTTAATGACGAGAGTTACACAACATCCAATAATGGTATGGAAGGTAATGCACTTATACACCTAGGATACGATAACTATGCCAACAGTTTACCATTCAGCGTGTTGATCTTAACTATGGATGGAGTCTGTCTCTCTCTCTCTCTCTCTCTCTCTCTCTCTCTCTCTGTCTCTTCCTCTGTTTCTCTCTCTCTGTCCACTTCGCTTTCCTTTCAGCTCGGTTCGGTTCAGTTCAGCTCAGCTCAGTTCAGTCCAAATTCTGACTGTGTTGGGAAATTCCAGCTAGAGATGTGTGATCGACGATTATGATGGATGATGGATTCGCCTTCGAGTTTTGTCACTTGTTATTGCGTTATTATTTGAATAAATTCGCCTTTTGCTTTGTCATTTTTGTAATCACAACAGAGTTTTTGCTTTTCTTGTTTTGTTTTGTTTCTCGTTTTCTTTTATTTCACGTTTAAATGTTGTTTTATTGTTTGTGGTTTTATTGGTTTTGCGGAAATGCTGCTGTGCGTTGAAGATAATTGAAATTGATATATTTATACATTTTTGTTTACTATATTAGCAACAACAACAACTACGTGTGTGTCGCCCCAATGAGAGTTGATCGAGATGTATTTCGCTTTTATTTAATTCATATTTTTTGTTTTTTGTTTTTTGTTTTTGTTTTTCATTTCATTTAATGCTGTTTCTTATTCAAATTACAAGCACATTTGCATGAATAGAAAGGAATAATAATAACAACAAAAAAGAAAAACTGTGCAAAATAATATCGAAATATATAAATGTGTGGAATGTGTTTAGTGTGAGCCTGGAAATGTTCTGTGTGCAAATGGAGGTAAAATGTGATTAAATGAGTATAAATAAAACAATGAGTTTATAATGATGCCGAATCGATGATTTCGCCAAGGTTAGTAGATAGATAGATAGATGATAGTAAACTAATGTAGACCTGATGCGCTCGCTGTTCTGTAAATGGAACATTAAGCCAGCCTCTAATTAGAGCAACTAATTGCCATATAATTAGGCGTATCTGATCAATATTCGTGAAAACAAACGGCGCGTGTTTACGGAAAGCCGACTCCAAATTACCTTGACACATTTGAAGTTTGGTCAATTACAAACTCCAATTCGTGTAGCCAGGAAACGCGAGGAATCGCTTGACTAATTGCAATTACGAGCGAATGAATGAACGAAAAAACAAATACAAATACAAATAAATAAGTCACTGTGTGTCGGCGTATATTGATTGCCTGGCCAAAGTACAGCGCCCATTAAAAAGCCATTACAAAAAAAAAAAAAAAAAAAAAAAAAAACAAGTTACAACAAAAAATACAAAATAATAATAATAATAATGCGAATGATTTAGAAATCATGTTTCGCTTTTGTTACATAACTAAACGCTGGTTAGCCATACAAAAAATATAAAAAGTGGAAACAAAAACACGTTAATATATTTGAATTCCAGCTCACACACACGCACAAGGTGGGCGTAACAACAACAACAACGACAACTGTGACAGCCACAATAGCCAACTAAATTATGTGTGAGATCATCTTCTTCCAGCCCTAATGACGCTACGGCCCCAATTGATTTATCGTGTAGAAGTCACAACACCATTTCGTTTCAGATCTCGCAAAAAATAAAGGCTGAAGTAGCAGGTATACTTTAACTGGACACTAGCCACGGCACACCTGCTCGGACAGCGCGTTGCCAAACAACAGAAATTAACAACTAGTTGCCAATAGTAGACCACAACAGTAGCTGCTGCTGCTGCTGCTGCTCTTACACAATGAAGTTGAGCCCACCAGTTGCTAGAGATTTGAAGCAGAAAAGCAAAAAAAAATCCCCCTAATTTTTGGCTGCATTTATTATTTACGAGCCGTTGCGAGCTGTTTTGCAACAACAACAAAAAAGCAGCAGCGAAAAAAAAGTAAATGCCTCATTCGTTTGGCTCTCAATGAATGGAGCACCTCGGTTAGCTGTCAAGGTTGCTTCTCCATAGGCATTTCTGGTCTGCTCATTCTCGAGAGCCCACACATACGCTCAAACGCTTTTCAAGGTTATGCTTTGCTCTCCGCGCTTTTAAGCACAACTCCGACAAACTGACAAACTGACAAATTGAAGTGCCTCGGCCTACACACACACAACGCACGGTTTTGGTTTATTTTTAGCGCAAACCTTTCATGAGCATTGATTAGCAGAGTTGAGCACGAATCTTGAATACATTTCAATTTATTCAAATAAGAATCTCAAATTAAAAGTCGAACTTTGCCGCCTTCGACTGCTTCTTCGTGTCAATGTCAATAGGTTTATGCACATATATACACACATATACATGTTTATATTTATATTGTTATTATGTCCACAGAGTGTGTCTAGTTTTTGAATCATTATTGTAGCTGCTGGCATTGAGCTACATTTGTTACTTGTAGCTGCCTGGCTGGCCTGGCCACAATATCGAATCGAGGGTTTCTCGTAGGCAAATCGTTTTGCTTTTCAACATAATTCACAAGTTGTTGTTGTTGTTGCTGTTGTGAGTGACTGAACAAGCTGTGTTATCTGACTGATAGAAGTATTCGCACTGCTGCGACTCCCAGCTAATGGCAACTTTCGAAACGAAAATGCGACCTTGACACGACGAGGCGTCGCGACGCACACAAAATGTAAGTCGATTGTCGAGTTGCGCATACGCAGCGTGGACCCGCAGACAGAAAGACACACAGACACGCATACACACACATATATGTATATATTGTAGCTACCGAATGACGACGCTGCTCATGTGATTATGCACCTAATGAGAAGCACAAATACAAATAAGGCAAATACAAAATTCGATAAAAAAAATTATTAGCTTAGCCGCTGATGTCGGGATGTTGTCATTGGGCGAATTGCAGCGACGATGCTAATTAACAAGGTCATTGAGAACTGTTTTCCTGCTATGTATAATAGTGTATCTCTGTGTGTGAGTGTGTGTGAGTATGACTTAAAGCTGCACTTGCAAACACATACACAATTGTAGCGGCAGCGGCGTCAGCGATTCTGGCTGCGACTGATGATGATGGTGCGGCGGCTGTTGCTGCGTTCTGGCAAACAACATGCTGGTTAGTTGACAGCCAACTCGGTTCTGTTAACAAAATGGCTGTGTGGACAAAAAGGCGACAGCAGCAGCGGACGAGGCGGGTCAAGAAGCGAGACGAGAAGCGAGAAGCGAAAAGCGAGCGAGCACTGAACGAAATGAACGACGATCGGCAACGGCGCGCGCTGAAATCGCACTGAAGAATTTTGTTGGTCCGTGGCGCACAAGCGAAACGCCGCTGGAGACGGAGAGACAGAGAGCGAGAGAGAGGGAGAGAGAGAGCAAGACAGAGAGACAAAGATACAGAGCTGGAGCCAGCCACAGAGCAGCGCGACA